AATGTGAAAAATAGAACTCTTTAAGAGCTCTTGAAAACATACTGCTATTTTTTTCTCACTCTGAAGCCTGGCTGGGAGCCACTTGCCCAGCTCAACCAGGGGTCAGAAGGGAAGAGGTGTAAAGGGGATTGTGAAATTTGTGTCAGCCCAGGATCAGCACGAGCATTTCCTGAATTGCAACCAAACAGAAGTCTGACTTCAGCCCAGTCTCACGCTTGTGTTCAGCCAGCTTCAAGCTGGACTTGCCAGCTGTAACCCCAGGCACACAGATGGCTTTTTACCACGTTATGGTGTGAAGTGACCTGAGTACAAACAAGACAAATCAGTAGGCGAAGGGCTCCTGCAGCTCTGCAGGAGGGCTGGGCCAGCAGTGGCAAGGTGCTGACTTACCATACATTTTTTTTTATTTATCTTATCACATTTACTGTGCTCACCTATGAAAAGGGATGCAGCTTTTATCAGTCAAACAGCCTTTCCTATCACCTTGCAAAAAGGTCTTGCATGGAGTGCCCATGTCACCGACTCATAGTTAGCTCCAGTTGTTGGGTCAGCCGGCAGGATTTCAGTCAGGTGCCTAGCAGGAAAAGAAGTTCAAGTGTCAAGCCACTCAGCCTTGCCAAAGTCTGGGAGGTCTTTGGACTGAAGTAGTGGTGAAATTTAAGACAGATGGCAAAAGCTATACACTGCCTGTAAAAACTTATTATTCTGCTCAATTCTCAGGAGCTGCATTGCCTTCCAGCAGTTGTGTAACTTATCCATTGCATCACTTACAAAATAAAACAGGAATACCTGAGTGCTCAGATGCTGCTGGCAAGAAAACAGAGCACTTATCTGAAAATCTTTGAAAATCCCAGATGAAAAATTTGTTCCATCTCATCCACAAAAAAAGTTCTTTTCAAACTGCAGATAGTATGTAATAAAAATTCACATTTGCACCTCAATTTTTGACTTCCTCCAAATCTGGACTCAGGCTTTCCAGACCAAATACAGCTCAGTGCTAGGGATAATTGTCCACATTATACCAGTATTAATTGACTGTGATAACTAACATCAGCCTTCCTCTAGGGAATATGTTTCCTAGGACACTATAGGGTAGCCTTAATTTCCACCACTTGAGTTAGACAGCTCCAAAGTTCCACAATTTCCAGAGCTTCCAGAAATTTTTTGCAGCCCAGAAAACCAACCATATCCTGGGCTGCATCAAAAGGATCATGACCAGCTGGTCGAAGGAGGTGATCCTGCCCCTCTACTCTGCTCTTGTGAGATCTAACTTGGAGTATTGTGTGCAGTTCTGGTGTCCTCAACATAAAAAGGACATGGAACTGTTGGAACAAGTCCAGAGGAGGGGCACGAGGATGATCAGGGGACTGGAGCACCTCCCCTATGAAGACAGGCTGAGAAAGTTGGGGCTGTTCAGCCTGGAGAAGAGAAGGCTGCGTGGAGACCTCATAGCAGCCTTCCAGTATCTGAAGGGGGCCTATAGGGATGCTGGGGAGGGACTCTTCATTAGTGACTGTTGTGATAGGACAAGGGAGAATGGGTTCAAACTTAAACAGGGGAAGTTTAGATTGGATATAAGGAGGAAGTTCTTTACTGTAAGGGTGATGAGGCACTAAAATGGGTTGCCCAGGGAAGCTGTTCAATGTTCAAGGCCAGGTTGCACAGAGTCTTGGGTGACATGGTTTAGTGTGAGATGCCCCTGCGCATGGCATGGGGGCTGGAACTAGATGACCTTAAGGTCCTTTCCAACCCTAACTATTCTATGATTCTATGATTCTATGATTTTATAAATCTGGAGCCAGATGAACTCCTTTTCTGCTTTCATTAATAAAATGAAGATGCATTTCTTTTCTTATTCATTCAGTGATTCCTTGCGACCCCGACCCATATCAGCCATTAGTACAAATGACAATAGCAACATGTCACCGCAATTTAAAAAGGTAGAGATCACAGTTCTCCTGGGATGGAATTCACTGCAATGAAAGTCCTTCAGACATCAATAACAGAGAAAGAAAACAGTGAGTTTCTGTAATTATACTCAGAAAATCAAAGAACAGCCCCTTTTACAAATGAATGTCGCATAACCCATCATAGAGTTGTGTGCATGTAATCCTGTTCTTCCCAAGGCCACAGACATCCAAGGCAAATATATCAGTGTAGACTGATATCTTCCGCAGTACATCTAACACTTATGATCCTCAAAGTGTATCTATCTATGAAAATAAATTCCATTATCATAAGGTACACAAAATGTAATTGCACCAGCCAATTATAACATCATGCAACACCACAACATTTCATTTTTATCCCTCTTATTAGAGCTCTTTCCAGAAGACTTCCTCTCACCTTCAGTCCTCCAGCCCAGTTCCTATTATTGCTATTTATGAATTGTACTGCTGTAGCAGAGATACAGGACAATGTTCAAACTGTTCCTGCTTTTTAATTATGGATGTGTGTCACTTTTACCAATAAGAAAGGCATTTGTGTAACTAGCTTCTGGAGCCAAGAACTGCCATTCAGGCTTATAATGAATTTATTGCTATAAGGCATCAAGAGAGCTGCAGCGCAACAGCTCTTTGAAGCAACCCAGGTATACACAGTATGTGCAGGTCACAAGATACACGAGAAAGGTCAATGAAAGTAGGGCACCTTGTTCTCAGATTGATGGGCCTTCAAGGAGCTGTGGACAATTATGAGGATCACTGTGCTGTCGGTAAGCTGCACACAGAGGTTCAAAGTAGAGGCATTTATGGACCTCCCTGCTGATTTTTTATTCCTTATACTTTTCTGAGTCCTTGGTGAATGACAAACAAGACCACTACTGCACTTTCAACATACACATGGAGAAGCCAAAGTGCCTGAAGCATTTCTATAATAATGCAATCAATGTTGAGAACAAGAAGGTGTATATGTGTATTACAGGTCAGCACTCTGGTGAGATCACTGGCAATTCCTACAGAGGGCAAACAGGATGATAAGGATATATTAGGTCTTCAGAACTTCAATACCAGGGCCCTCAAATTTCCACTTGAATATCAGGTGATGATAGTATGATAGTATGACCTAAGACCACACTTCTAGCAAACAATACAGTAAACATAAAACTCCCCTTAACTGATACCTTAAAAAGGCTTTATTTTTATGAGGCTTGGACAAACAGACAAATAACCTTATTGTTGTACTTGGATGTACAACAAAGATTTGCAAAACCACAAGTGCAGCAAAGGAAATTCTGATTATACTTTTTTTTTTTTTTTTTTACCATGACAGAGTCAAACACCAGAACATGTATCCCAGAAAAGCTGCAAATCCTTATCTTTGTAGACAGTCAGAACTGAGCTGGACACAGCCCTGAGCAACCTGACCTAAGCTGGCCCTGCTTTGCAATGGAGCAAGAGACATGGGATTTACAGTGGTCACTTCCAACTTAAACCATGCTACAATCCTAAATATCACTTGTAAAATTTTAGCATGGAAACGTTTTCCTGCATCTCCCTGACCCACCACTGTGAGCCCCTTTCAAAAAGGTCAGGTGCACGTGTACAGCCACAGAAGGTGACTCATGTCTTTGATTTCCAGGAAGGTCCTAGTCCAGCCAGCCGGGATAACACCATTGCTTTTAAGCAGTTCAACATATTGAAGATCAGCTATTTGCAGGTGTCTGAGCTACTCTTACAATCTGTGGCCAAAAGGGGAGCAGCCTACAACAGGGAGTGATGCTTTAATAGGAAAAATAATCAAAAACAGACAAATAATGCAAACTGTATGAAGGCCACCATTCTTAATCTTATTTTCCATGTGGGTTGCCTAAATTACAAGCAGCAGATGACAGCTTTGTCATCTGTGTTTTGAACAACGACGAGACAGGGGGTGGATAAGCTCAGACATTGCTTACAAGCTAGTGTCTGCTTTTGGTTAGCTGTAAGGGGTAACTTATCTTCCATACACTTTGGCATGGCACTTCAAAGTCTTATCTATATCTTATGTGCAGATGGGTGCCAGGGACCTAACTCATCCAGGCAGCTAGATCCTTAGGCAGCACAACACTTGCTTTGAGGGCAACTTCACAGGCACTCTGAATCCCAAAATGCTTGTAAGATTAATAATAACAAAGCTGTTATTCTGCATGTTCAAAGGAAACAAAATAATAGATAAATAAATAAAGGCTTGAGTATATAGATATAAGTAGGAGCTACATCAAGAAATTAAACAAAGGGAAAATTAGGCTGAATATCACTGAAAATTCAATAGTGAGTGTGGCATATTAACCCATAGGGACGACCTACTGCTTCCAATACTTAAAGTTAGATTGGACAAAGTAACACAGAGAACTAAAAATAAAACAGTTTGCTTTGTCTGACATGTCTTTTCCATGTCTAATTTTGGTGACTATAGGTTAGTATTGTGTATGACTCAGGATCCCTTTCAAGTTGAAAAATGTATGCCACCAGCTCTTGGTCCACTCATTCATTCATTCATTCATACTTCTGTTCACCTAGAGCTTTCTGAAAACATTAACTACCCAAACCAAGCATGCAGTTTATGTTTACAGGTCTGACATTTCAGTAGCCATCTAATATTATTTATTTAACTAACTGCTTCTTTACATTTGATTATAATTAAGACTAATTCTTCTAAAAACACTTAAGATATATATATTTTAGTGTTGCACCATGTATCAAAAAATAGGGAAAGAGAAAATTACCTTCACAGGCAGGTAATTTTCACTGGTTACTTGCTGCTAATGTTCATTTTAACGTCACAGTAAACTGCACACCTTTTTCTGACAAAATTGAGTTTAAATACAAGAGGTGATGAGAGGTATTCAATTTTATTATGACATTAAAAGCTAAGTGCAATGATGTTCAGAAAAAATAAACAGCCATGAAAATTTGAGTGGCAGAATATTTTAGTGTATTATTTTGTAAGTTATGTAATATTTTAATGTTTCTTTCTCTTTTTTGCCCATTTCCTCTCTTCTGCCTCAATATTAATTAAAGACCCTTCCTTGTTCTGTAAGAATGGCATGCTGAAGAGGAATAGATTTTCTTGATAATCACAGCCCCACAAAGAAGGTTTTCACAAGTAACTTAAAAAAGTGGAAATCTTTCCACTCAGGGAAACAGAAACACCTTTTCATAGCTCCCTGAGCTTGCTTTGGTTTGCATCAGCACCACCCCTGAGCCAGGTACGCAGCACTATCCACCCTCTCCTTATCCTGCTGGATGAACATTATTACAAAGGCAGTTTGAAGAAGGCTGCACCAATGCAAACTCGCAAGGCATTTCCTGCAGGAGCTGGATGCCTGCAAAGCAGATCAGACCAGGATATTCCTGAACCTCCCTGCAGCTGATTCCTGCTGCCAAAATGACCCCATGGAGCTGCTGCTCATAAGGCATAGCAAACCTTAAGATCCTACAAGCTCCAGAGATCAAAGCAGATCCTGGCAGCTCCTGAACAAAAAATTAGTGAAGAGAGGGTAAACAAACTGCTTTTCCTGCTCTTTTGATAACTAAATCCACTCTGGTATAAAGGATGAGTTTAGCTGTAAATATTCCTATTTCAAGGACAGGAACAGAAGAAAATTTTGTTCTGCTAACCTGGAAACATGTAATGCTGTTCTGTCTCACTTAGAGCTTCTGTCTCTCCTTCCAGCTCTTTCTTTTTTCTGTTCAACTGCCAGGCAGAGAGAGAAAGATCACTAATGAACCACAGCTTCTGTTCAGGTCATTAGCTGTACCAGAGAGAAAGTTAATGAACCCTACTATATAAAGACAAAATCAGGTTTTCTTTAATAGTTTCCATAGCAAGAGCATCATTTTCTGTTAGTGTAATCCCTGCATGATTTAGTTTGAGTTCCTTTTTTTTTTCAGATTTTTTTTTTTTTCTCTCTTCAGCTTAGTTTTGGAGGAGCAGCGTGACAGAGAACATCTGGTCATTGAGTGTATGCGGAGGATGTTCAGATGCTGTGGAGGAAATGCCAGAGGTAGCCAGAGAGGGTGGGGATGGTAAGCTACCTTGTACAAGAACATCTTTGGGAAATCAGAAATAAAAATTGCCACTTGCTGCAGCATTGTTCTACGGACTGATTTCAACAGCAACAACAAAAAATAAGCACCAGCAGAGCCCCTGCCTTTCACTGACCATCTTGTTTCCCTCTCTGGTCTTCTCCCACTCGCAGACATTCAGAAATCAAAGACTTGTGTATCCTTATGCTTTATCTGAGTAACTTAAAGACTTTTGTGTACTTACCTGTCACAGTGGTCCATGGGGATAAGAAAATGTTATTTCCACTCTATGGGAATACTCAGGGTTTTCCAAACAAATCATGGTCAGGCAGGATATTTTTTTCTCCTAGCTCTCCAGCATCCTAAGCACAGGAAGAGCCTGTCAGATTCACAGCTGCAACAGGGCCAAAGGAATATGCTGCATCCCAGAAGAGCTTTCCCTCTCCTAGATATGTTTTGCTTTCAATATAAATGTGCTTGAGAAGTTACACAAATCAAAGTTGTGGTGGTAAGACAATGAAAGAGAAGCAAAAAACACCTATGAATATCCTATAAAAGCATGCATACATCAGAATCAAAGCCTGGCAGCATGGGCCAGAAAGGTCCTCCCAGGTTCAGTAAGTCTGAAGTCACTGTACCGATGAATCTCTTTTGGTAAGTTTTATTTGACAATTCTTGTAGCCAGCAGCCTTACCGGGACACTGTCTGGACTGCTACCCACTTACAAACATAGGGTCTGTAACCCACTTCCTGGTTACAAGCCCTATGTTATTTTTTAGATTTATTCGTGGACGAGTTTCCATAACTTACATTCCACACTACAACCAGACAGAGTGTGCAAGAAAATGAGGTGACATATAATGTGAGAAATGTGGATTGATACCATCTGATGTATTCTGCTTCCACTGAAATTTTCCTGTTCTTCTGTATTCTATTCCCAGGGGGCTCCTTCCTGCAGCTCAGTTTTGAGGTGCATAGAAGGCAACAGCAAGGTTCGCATCCAAGTGAAGCTTTTTCAATCTTTTTAATAGGTGCTGATCACAAAACAGGTTACTCCACAACAACCCTTTCCAGAAACAGCTGTTTGTCCTTCTCGGTGGATATTAAGAACACTGCCCACAAATCCTAATCTCCTGTTAATGTGTGTTGCATTAACATCTACCAACACTGAGCACTGGGGCGGTTTTACCCAATTTTGTATCAAAGACGGACCCAGATTCACTATTCCAGCCTTCATCTTTAAGCAAGAAACTGATGCAGCCCAGGAAGGAGAAATTCTTCATCCCTCCCCACATTTTCCCTCTTTAGTGAGTAGTTCTGAACTATGGCGGAAGAATTAGTGTATTTCCCAATCTGTTCCAGCCCTGAAACACTTCAGTCTCACTCATGGGCCAATGGGCATTGAGAAAAACAAATCTGGTTTCATTTTTATCTCCGTTTCCCGATCATTTGCTCCTCAGCTACTTTTGATAATAATAAGCAAAAAGATCAGAAAATACTTGGAAAAACCTAACTGATGTTGTTTGCACGCAAGCATTCTTCCACTAGCATTAGTTTTTCATCAGTATTTCTCTAGAACAGCTAAGCATGGTGTTTTTATCCAAAGACAATTTACTGGTACAGAAAAAGTAGAGCAGACAACGCATTCTTACTTTATTATGCATAAACACCAGGTATGTACTCACCTTTCTATCTTATTTATCACACTGTCATTAAATCTGTGTCACTATTACTGTTCTGTTAATACACGTCACAATAATGTGTTCTTATCAGGCCTCCTTTCTCATCTACTGATCTAATATTATACTATCTCAACATTTTAATGCAAACAAACAAAAAAACATTCAGGCACAATATACTCAGGAAAGCAATGTTCATGTTTCAGCATAAACAAAAGCCTTTTTTTTTTTTCAAGTCAGCTTAATGGTTCAGCACTGCTGACGGAATCATTCAATGATGCCGAAGGAAGATGCAAGCTAATTAAAATGTGGTTACAGAAGCCTGGTCGGCAAATATTGCTAATATTTGTGGATTTTGAGCAAGAACTGCTGCACTGAATCACATGAAAATTTGCTCTGACTTACAAGAAAGAGGGTTATATTTAAAGTAGCTCTCTAAGAGCAGTACTCCAAGGTTTTGTCTGGCCTGATACTCTGAAAGTACCAGGGACTCTCCAGGGATACCAAAACCCAACTGACCAAATGATGAAATTGCCAGGTTGGTCGACTGGGGTGGTTTTGGCTCAGGCCAACAAACAACCTCTCAAACTGAGTCTGTCAGAAACAGGAGGAACCACTTCTGATATGCAGTCCAGATGCAAACCCTCCTGTTTTGGAGAGAGTTTTACAGTGCGTCCACCCATTTGGCCTCTGCACTCAAGAACAGTCCCAGGCATGTTTAATTTATTAGTATAAACAATGCTTGGTAGTCTTCAGCTTTGCTTTTGTCAGATAAGATGGTGGCTGTCAGACTAGCCTGAATTTGTTTCATAGCATTACCTTGTGTCAGGACTGCACAACACCCAAAATTGTACCAGGCATCTGAAGACAAAAGGGGCACGGGGTTCTGGTCATGTGTTTAAATAGGGGTTACTATGCTGTTTTATCATTTTATCATTTGTCAGTGCAGAAGAGGAAGCATGTGAAAAATCATTAGGATGAATAAATTAAATAAATTAGCATCAACAAGGCAGCTCATAATCCAATTAGAGAAGGTGATAATGTATCTTACCTATCTAAAGAGAAAACACAGGCAGGAAGGACCCACTGTAGAAACACAAACTCCTCTGCTTAAAAGAAGACTGGGGGCAGAAAAATGAATTCAGAACAGCATTTTATTAGCAGAATTTGCCTCAACTAAACTCTAATAGATTGAGTCAGTGCAGGAGGTGTGGACAGGCACCATGTTGTTATTTTACAGGACGGCAAAGGCATTATAAAACAGGAGAGTGATTGCAATATTTTTCACCTTGTTAAGCCCCTTAAAAAGCTAGCTGATTATACACTGTTTCTTTAAAAAGCAGAAGGCAGGGAGACAGTCTAGTAGTGGAAAAATAGCTAGTGGAGATTGTATTAAATTTAGAGATGCTTGCAAGTATGTGCTAAAAGAGCCAACTCTGCTTTTCATATGTGACCTGTGATTTTCGTTACAGAAACAACACTGTTAAACTTCTGAGGCACCAGATGAATCGAATCTCTAGAGCAATATATTATAACAAGAAAAATGTAAATTTCAGTTCAGAATCTGACTTTGCACACCTGTCCAGTTGTGCCAGGTGGTTTCCTGCTTGACCTCCATTTTTGCCCGAAGTTGTATTTATTTTAGAATTTCAATATTACTTGAAGAGTCTTGATCCATTCATCAGCATAGATGATGTTGGAATCTTGTGATTATTGAAACTATTATTGAAACTATTATTGAAACTATTAATTCATATAATCACCCAGACTGTCTTCCCCAGCAAATTCTTCATATGCACCATGGGAACTTTGTCCCCCTCTACAACATGTAAAAGTTCTGACTGGGCTGGGCCAGCCCTGTTGGCAGATCCTCTGGTGTTGACCAACCAGGTGGCCTTTAGTAAGTGTGTATCCCAATGCTTGAAAGTTCCCCCACCCATTGCTCTCAGTGTAGTTTTTAACAGCCCACTGTACCGTTCGATTTTCCCAGAGGCTGGTGCATGGTAGGGGATGTGATATACCCACTCAATGCCATGCTCTTTGGCCCAAATATCTATAAGGTTATTCCGGAAATGAGTCCCATTGTCTGACTCAATTCTCTCTGGGGTGCCGTGTCACCACAAAATCTGTTTCTCAAGGCCCAGAATAGTGTTCCGGGCAGTGGCATGGGGCACGGCGTATGTTTCCAGCCATCGGTGGCTGCTTCCACCATGGTAAGCACATGGCGTTTGCCTTGGCGGGATGTCGGCAGTGTGATATAGTCAGTCTGCCAGGCCTCCCCATATTTGTACTTCAACCATTGTCCTCCATACCAAAGAGGCTTTAACCGTTTGGCTTGCTTAATTGCAGCACGGTTTCACACTCATGAATAACCTGGGCAATAGTGTCCATTGTTAAGTCCACCCCTCGATCACGGGCCCATCTATATGTTGCGTCTCTGCCCTGATGGCCTGAAGTGTCATGGGCCCACTGGGCCAAAAATAATTCACCTTTATGTTGCCAATCTAAGTCCATCTGAGCCACTTCAATCAGCCGCTTTATCCACTTGTTGGTTGTCCTGGTGTTCCTCAGTGGCCCGACTCTTGGGTACATGGGCATCTACATGACGTACCTTCACCACCAGCTTCTGCGTCCGGGCAGCAGTATCTTTCCACAGTGCAGCAGCCCAGATGGGTTTACCTCTAGGTTGCCAGTTGCTCTGCTTCCATTGCTTCAACCACCCCCACAGGGCATTTGCCACCATCCATGAGTCAGTATAGAGATAAAGTACTGGCCACTTTTCTCATTCAGCAATGTCCAGGGCCAGCTGGATGGCTTTCACCTCGGCAAACTGACTCGATTCACCCTCTCCTTCAGCAGTTTCTGTAACTTGTCGTCCAGGACTCCATACAGCTGCCTTCCATCTCCGATGCTTTCCCACAGTATGACAAGAGCCATCAGTAAACAAGGCATACTGCTTTTCACTTTCTGACAGTTTATTATATGGTGGGGCCTCTTCAGCGCGCATCACCTCCTCCTCTGGTGACATTCCGAAATCTTTGCCCTCTGGCCAGTCCATGATGACTTCTAGAATGCCTGGACGACTGAGATTTCCTATTCGAGCTCGTTGTGTAATTAGTGCAGCCCATTTACTCCATGCAGCATCAGTTGTGTGATGTGTAGAGGAGACCCTGCCTTTGAACATCCAGCCAAGCACGGGCAACCGGGGTGCCTGGAGGAGCTGTGCTTCAGTGCCAATCACTTCCGAAGCAGCTCGAACCCCTTCATAGGCTGCCAGTATCTCTTTCTCAGTTGGGGTATAGCTGGCCTCAGATCCTTTGC